CCGGGTTACTGTGACCCAAAGGAAGACTAAGGGAAGGTTATTCTCTTAATAAGGTGAAGCAAGGAGTTGCTTCACGTAAAGGTTTTTTCTCCACCCGTAAGGAGAAGTCATAGTGGATTGGGAAGTCTCAAGAAGGGTCTTGAGTCGAGAAATAGGAGTTTCCAAACCTCACTAAAATCGCCGAGTCATTGTTTGCAACTTCTTTTCCCTTATTTTTTTTTACAATTGTGCTATTAATTGTTTAGTTTCAACTATTGAATATTGCATAATTACTTATGTGGTTAATTTGAAATTGTATATCCTTAAATTGCAAAAATTAGCCATCGACTCGATCAGCCCCCTCTAAAGTCAATCCTTGGGCAACAATTGGTATCAACGCCTAAACTCTATTAAAGGACTTAACTGTCTTAGAGTACAATCATGGCCAACAATGGTAGTATCACACTCTTAGAAGGATAACCCAATGATAAACTGTAATACCCCTAATTTTAAGAAGGATATTCCTGGTATTTAATTAAATATTTAATTGCATTTTATTTGATTATATGTTATGTTATTTGATTATTTGCTCAATTATTTTATTTTGGTGATTAAATTGAATTAAGTGATTTATTTTTAATTGAATTAATTGATTTATTTATAATTATTTATTTGGAATTAATTGTTTAAGTGTATTTGATTATTTAATTGGTTTTTCATTATGTTGTTTTACTTAATTGGATTTTAACTTATTTACTTGATTTAATTATTGAATATTTTTAAGTTACAGTTAACTTTGGATTGCAAGTCACGTATAGGTAAGCCGCCGTATGGAAACATAGATAGTTTCATGGGCCGATTAGGGTTGGAATTAGGACTTAGTCTCTAATTATTCATAGGATATGGTTATTAATATACACCTATAAATATCAGTAACTGAGGTTTAAGGTTTTAAGAAAATAAACGTAAATTTTGTAAACATAGAGACCGTGAGATACAGAGGGAAACAGAGAAGGAGATAGGAGAGGAAGGCTAGGTTGGATCAAGGAGGAAGGAACGTGGTTTCTGGAACAGCAGTGGGGAGTTGGACAGTGGGGAATTGGATAGAAAGTTTAGAGAATGGTGGTTTAGAGTTTCAAATTTGAAACTCAAAGGCAAGTCTCTGTTCTTCTCTTTCCCATGAATCTGTGTTCTGTGCATGCTTAGTTAGACTCCAGGAATTAAACTAAGTCTTAATTAAATCATTTATACATGTTAAATCAGTTTCTAGTATCATTGAATTAAATCTGTTGCTCAGTTGTTACAAGTTCAGTTTATATATGGTTGTTGTTTGCTTTAAACATTGATGTCTAATTAAATTCTTAATTGTATAACTCTGTCTTGTGATCAATCTGGGATGAGGATGAGACTTTAAAACCTGTAATGAAACTGAATTCAAAGACTGGAAACCACCGGAGTCGGAGAAGACAACAGAAGAACAAATGCTTTCCTTGAAGTGGAAAAGGCTTTCCTTAAAGTGGAGAAGGCTCTCCTTGAAATGGAGAAGGGTTTTTTGTTTTCAGACCCTTCTCTTTCTCCTTTAATACGTAAAACTGATAAATTGAGATCTGTTTGGTTAAACTGGATTTCTAAGGCTGTCTGTGTGCTACTGAATAATGTAATTCATTGCTTAAGACTTATAAAATTGTTGGGAAGCAAGCCTACATTTAGATATTGTGGATGGGATTAATCTAAGCTTAAACAGAGAGTTCGTAGGTGAAGGATTGGAGAATTAACTTCTGTTGGTTACTGTTTTTGAAACTTTGATTTCTCTGCAAAAATCTTAAATTGAGAATCATGTTTTCAGCTGTGATTTAGGCATATAGTAATTTAATTATGTGTATGCTTAAATGGAGTTAACTAGTGTTTAAATCGGTTATACATTGCAATAGTATGGTACTATTTGGAGAGGTAGATTGAGTAATCTTATTTTACAAATTTAAAGGAATGGGATTTGGATTCTAACTCTGTTAGTGGATGCATGATTTAGTTTTATATATGTGAAATTGTATTTGTGTTTATTTTGGAATGTAGTTGATAACTATTTATACTGTTTTTGGTTAACTATGGTAAATGGAGGATAGTGTGCACTGGTATGGGACGGTGGCATACTAGGTATGGATTAGTTCAGACACTAAGCCTACCTAATCTGGATTGAAATTTGGATTAACAATAAAAGTTAAGTCCGACTTCTGTTAGTGTCAGGTCAGTAAGTAACTGAATGACATAATTGGATTTCTGGAATGAATTGTTATACAGATATCGAGCCACTATATCAGATGGATGATATTTTGTATTAGGAGGACACGGACTTTATATATTTATGTTATGATGCCATGATATGAGCTTGAGTCTCATGACCATGGTTAGGGTGCGTATATTGCCTAGGATGGATAGCTGGACAGTAGTGTTGTTCCCTGGTAGGTCTAGGTACACATGACCACGTAATGTGCGATTTGCATGGTATCTCTACTCAGGCTGAGACAGACCTATTGGACTAGTGAGCGTCCTATAGTGTGTAGTATATACATATATGGACTACTCTAGATATTATTGAGTTTATCTAGGATGTATCCGCGTATCAGATTCTTGTTTGGATTATAGTAGAATAGGACTGGCATGTGGGCTTGACCCACCCTTTTATTTTCCAGGTGCTCATCAGTTTCAGGGTTAGAAGTTGATCGTGTAGAGCAGATACAGACTTCCATTCCACCGACTACGTAGGACTGCTTTCTTACCAGTTTGGATTTTGATTACAGTTATTGTATTTTACAGTTGGGATTTTTATTAGGAGTCCTCTAGATGGATTCCCGAGTTATTAAATAATTGGAGGTTTTGGATTAATAGATTTTAATGATTATACTTTGAGGATTTTTCAATTAGAGTTCTTTCCAGCCATTTATTATTTATTTCTTATTATTTCAATTTGTATTATGTGTTTGTTAAATATTAATTGTTTGATATTTCCCCAAGGGTTTGGGCCTGGGCCTGATCAACCCGTGTTTCGGATTCGAGAGGTATCACATAAACCTCCTTGTTGTGATGGAAATGATTATATTTATTAAAAAATTAGAATGAGGGCCTTTCTAAAAAGTACTGATATTGATTTATGGAAAGTTGTTAAAAATGGTGATCATATCCCAACCAAAGTTATTGAAGGAAATCCTAAATCAAAAAGTGAATGGGATGAAAATGATCATAGATTAGTTCAATGTAATGCTTTAGTCATATGTTATCTTTATTATGCATTGAGCAAAAATGAGTTTCATAAAATTATCTTTTGTAAAACGGCCAAAGAAATTTGGAACTTGCTTGAATTAGCCTATGTTGGATCAAGTCATTATAAGGAATTAACTATAAATGAATCCTCTAGCATAAATGAGATACATGGTGGTTTTACTAACATTACTAATCATTTGAATGTTATTGGTAGAACTAACTCATCCACTTATAATGAAGAAAGTGATGCAATGCAAAGAAGAGTATAGCTCTCCAAGTTTCTAGCAAAGACGCAAGTAACATCAAAGAGTTGGTTAATCTTTGTCTCATGGCCAATGAAGATGAGGTAAATTCTAATCATGAATCTTTTAATTTAGAAATTTCCTATAATGAATTAGTTGATGAGTATAATGATTTGCATAATGCGTTCAAAGAGTTACATGGTGTGCTAGAAATAATGCTTGTGAAATGTGCTTCTTTTTAAAAGGAAAACCATGATCTCTCTCAAAGTAATGAAAAAGTTCAAATGGAAAATGGCTCTTTGAAAAAGGAAAATCATTGTCTTATGCAAAAATTAGAAAAGATTCAAATTGAAAATGAATCATTGAAAAATGAAATGAAATGTGTACTCCTTAAATAGTCCTCATCAATTGATCTAGCTTCAGAAAATGAGTTTCTAAAGAAAATCATTGATGATCAAAATGACATTTTAGCAAAGTTTACCAAAGAAAATGAGAACTTAAGTATTATGCTTGGTAATCAAGGAAGTGTCTTTTTAAAAAATGAGATAGTGTATGATCCTCATATTAAAGATGCATATTTATTGAAAAAGAGAAAGTTCTTAAATGATTCATTTGACAGAAGTTCTTTTCAATATCCTAAATGCAATTATTGAAAAAAATTATGACACTTAATTCAAAATTGTCCATTTAGAAAGAGGATAAGGACTAAGAGGATTTGGGTTCCAAAAGGAACTTATGCGCCATTACCTAACTCCCAAGGACCCAAGAAAATTTGGGTACCAAAAGAAGATTCTTTAAGTTTACCTTGTAGGGTTGCTTGAAGGCATCTTCATCATCCAAGGACAAATGATTACTTGATAATAGTTGTTCAACATGTGATGTAAGAAATGTTCCAAATTCTTTTGCTCTTATGCTTCGCGCACGCTCTTGCTCCCATTTCTACTATTGTAACTTAATTTTGCTGCTTTCAAACTCCCTCACCAACTTCATGTGACTTAAGTCCAATGTGATAGATATAAGGATAATCATCATGCCCAACCATTCACATAACCAACCCTATACCATCAAATAAATAATTAAATAATAAGGCCGTCTACACAATATTTATTTATACGAACTTTGTTTTTTAAATGACTAATAATTAGTCAAAGAGAATACATTTTAATATTCTTTTGGTTGATTAAGTCAATTTATACATTCATAGAGTCCAATAATGGCATAAACTCAACAAATTGATAGCTTTTAAAAATGAAGTGATGCTCGGAACGTGACAACTTCAGTATTTCTGCCAACGTGAAGTTGCGTAACCACTGATTTCATAATGCATGTCTTCAATAACTTATTTAAATCTTATCGATGCCTTTTTTTACATATATATTTTAAAGGGTCTTTAACGTAAGGTATGCGGTAATATCCATCAAACAAATAGGGCTTTAGTGACAGTCAAGAGTGTCCTAAAAAGCCCCAAAACCGTCACTAATGATCAAATCCGTCAGTCAATAATTAGCGCATCGTAAAAGATTTTTAGGGACGAAAAAAAATTGATTGTCACCAAAAAGCTCAACCTTTAGAAACGGACTTACTGTCCCAAATAATATTGTCCCTAATGCTTTATTTTTTTAATTTTTTATTATATTTGTGACATTTAGGAAACTCAGAAACTGTACCTAATGCTTTATTTATTTATTAATTAATTTATTATTATTATTATTGGCTGTGCTAGATTTTGTGTTTTTATTTTTATTTTTATTTTTTTTTATAACAAAATAAACCATTATCACAATATAATGTTTACAACACAATACAATTAGCCAAATATTCAACAAAACATACCAACTCAAATAATCCAATAACCAAGAAGATTACACAGTATTAACTAAATATTCAGCAAGACTGCTTAAATGTCTTTAATATTCAATTCACTAAAGAGAAGACAATCAAATTGGTCATTCAGGTGGTTGTGGCAATGGTGCTGACTATCGCTGAAAGATGAATAGCTGAGCTTCTCTTCATAAGATGATTGTACTTGCAATCAGATCCATATTTGCAGCTCCCAATGCTAATGAAATATCGGCATTCAGGTTGATCAGGTCGCTCAGGTCGATGAAGAACTGATGTAGACAACATATGCAAGTGTCCACCGGAACCTGAATCACCTTGGTTCTTGGAGTTGTAAATAACATTGGGTCCAAGAACACTGCTAAAAGATAGCTCATGCTTCACTGATTGACATTGTAAACATGAATTAGAAATACAATAAATGACATTTACATTAACTTAAAAAAAAAAGCCTACATCCCAACTAATTGCAGTAAGTGATAATTTTGTAGACTTCCAGAGATAATTGAACCAAATCATCCCTAATATATAATGTAATAATTAAACTTGCAGTGTCCTTTTCAATCAAAATTGTTAAAGAAGACATAAGTATACTTCTAAATAGGTAGATCATTACTGACTCGCTGGCGTAGACAAGAACTGTACCATGAAAAGAACTGCAACAATCCATTTTTGCTATATAAATCTGGTCTCATTGAGAAGAAAGATAAGATACACAAAAAGATGGATCAAATATATGGATCATATAAAAAATTTCATAAGGTAAATTGTAAATGTGCTGGTACTCCAAAAACTGCCAATAATGTGACTCATACAAACAATAAATTTTGATCCAGATTTAAAAAAAAAAAAAAAAAATATGTAACAAGATCAAATTTAAGTGAAATATAAACAGACCTTAAACATTAAGAACTGAAGGGACCAGCAAAGAAAAATATAAATGAAGGCTCCAAGATAACTTTGTATTGTATAATGTTGAAGCAATTGCCAAGTAGACAAAAGTACAAACAATTCTTTTTCTGGAAAGAAGTACTAAGAGTTTTCTTACATATGTAAAATTAAACAATAAAGCTAGTTGAGTAAACTTAAACTTATTTCATAAATACACAAGTCCACTTGCAATATTATTTTTTATTATGCCAAAAGTTCATCAAACTAAAGCACATATATAACAGGAAATATTTCATTAAATAATACTATATAACATCACTCAATTGTTTTATAGGTTCCTATATGTTCAAAAACACAAGGCAACAAAAAGGTGGGAGCAGGAGTTATGGAGTGAAGTTGAGTTGACTATGACATCAACTACACTTTGTTGGACCAAATATGAGGCAGCAAAACACACGCTAATACAAGGATGACAACAAAAAAATAAATACTAAGAAAATTGTATAGTAAGACAAAGAAAATAAAAAAATTAGATCTTTCAATTAGGGCTTATCCCAAATAAAAGGTTCTAAAGACCTGATTAAGGAAGATAAAAGCATAAAAAGGGAACACGAATTGTTCTGAATCTGCCCTTCATTCTCAAAGTTTATTTATAGAAGTATGTCTATCTTACAGTATACAATAGGAAGATGATCTATTCCCAAATGTCACTCTGTGTTTATTCAAGAATGGTCCTAATCTATATATCAGAAAGTTAAAAGGCTATTAATTACAATACAACCTTAGCTATTTGACATTAATACTCATTACATTTACATTTTTGAAATTCCACAAATTATATATTTTTTTTTACCAAAATAAACATCAGAGTTACCAATAATAATCATTAAATAAGTAAAAGAAAAGCAAAATAGAGTATAAACATCATAGTTACCCTTTAATTCAGACTCTACAATCAAGGCAAAGAGATTGGCTACCGCATTTATCCCTTCTGGTGGAAGTAATATATTTTGACCAGTAATACACAATAGTTGTGGATGAATGGCAAAACTTTAAGTTTATGAGCTGCTATTAGACTAGTAGAGGAAGAAAAATGTACTTAATAAAGCAACTATCATATTTTTCAAACCTCATCTTACACCAATAATACTTGATAATATTTACCTATAATAACAATGCTTCTAACGCAGAATGAGGATTTGGAAGAAAATAACCATCAAATTGCCCAACGTTTCTTTCCAAATATACTGATAAATGAAAGAATGAGAGTGTTTTCAGAATTGCATGCACATGTGACAAGATACTGAAAAAGTAAATAATGGAACATATAACACAAGAAGTGCCGTCCAGGTATCTAATAAAGTATCACATGCCACCCAACTCCATGTCTCCTCTTCAGTGTATTTTACCATAAGAACTTTTATAACTTCACACATCAAGCCAGACAACAGGCTAAGAGTGCCAAAAGGGCTGAACATGAAGGTAAAGAGTCAACTTATGTAAAATTGTGAACAAAATAAATATGTCATAAAAGGACATTGTAATGTGAATGCAACTGTAATTAACAAAAAACATTAAATTAAAGATATATATTGAAGGGCCACAAGAGAATATTGCAAAGCTGATAGTATAGATTTCAAAAGTTGGTTAAACACAAAGGGATTAGTTACCGTTGTTATTAACAGAAGTGCATGGCAACCATCAAGCATCTCACTGAACAGAACAAAATAACAGGTAAGACATCAAAGGAAAAGTAATCACAGAAAGAGGGTTGGGACTACAGGAATATAACCTTTCACTTTTTCCACAATCGATTGTTTTTGAGATGGCATCAGGAGGATCAATCCACTGAATAATTCCACATAGCAGTTGCCGAAGGTGCTGCTCTTGCATATGCCCAGTATCTAGATTTAAAACAAATTATAATTAGTAATTATAAGAGATAATAGATATTAATAACCATGTATATTTTGGATCTAATAGAGAAAAATCCCATACAATATGGGTATTGGTCACTTTCGAATTGTTTTACCGGGCGTAGTATTGATTGTGGAGACCTAGACCTAGACGCTGTATGCAAATCTTTGAACCTTTTAACTTCATAAATGTCAGCTTAAACCCTAAAAACGCATAATTTCATAAATTCGTCCTTCAATAGTGATCGAATAAAAAGTAATTGATGGATTGAAATTAATATAATAGCATAAATATTATAAATAACACTGACAGTTGGATCATGAGAATCTAATGTTTGAAGGGTGTTTTGACTGTTTAGGAGAAAATCAGGCGATCCAATTAAACAGAACATGCACTAGTGATTAAAAAGGAAACTTACAGATTAGGGTTTTGAAACCGAAGTCTTCAACCCAAAATTAGGACTTACAGATAGGGTCTCTTTCTCTGTGTGTCGTCGCTGGCAAATAGAGACCAACATTGAGGGAGCAAAAGTGAATCTGTAGGTTTGAGAGAGAGATTTCAATGAGGGAGAGCTTTTTTCGCGCTATAGAGGGGACAAAGAGAGAAAGCTAGGGCTTCGACGCCACAGAGAGAGCAGAGTTGCGTAATGGAGGCCACGCGAGAGAGAGGGAGCAGAGTTGTGCAGAACAACTTCAACACGAGAGAGAGCAGAGTTATGTAGTGGGTTTAAGCAATGATATATATACCTCTTGACAAAAACTACGTCGTCGTTTTTTAAGTTCACATTAGTCACAGTATATTTATCGTCCTTAAAGACTAATTTTTAATTATATTTGGTAAGGTTTTAAGTTTCCCCCGATAGTAGTAAGCAAAGGTGGGAAAATTATTTGGGCTTTAGAGACGATAATTAAAGTCCGTGCCAAAAAATAGTGTTTTTAGTGACAATTTTTTAAGCAAGACCATGCCCCAAAAATAGTGTCCTTAGGGACAGTTTTTTGTACTGTCCCTAAAAGACGGTCACTAATAACCATTTTTCTTGTAGTGTATATATATTCAAATAATTTATTTTTGTTATTATTTTAAATAATAATAATAATATTATTATTTTGATAATTTATGAGCTTGTGAAACTTGTTTATAGGTATATGGATCCATCAAGCAATTTATTTTTGTTATTACTTTAAATTTTTATTATTATTACTATTATCACTGCTAGTATTATTATTATTATTATTGTTGTTAATTCGCAATGACTCTAAAAGTGATTCACATATCTTACAACTAAGCAATTTATTATTATTATTATTATTATTATTATTATTACTAGTACTATTATTATTATTATTTTTATTATTATTACTACTAATATTATTAGTTATTATTTATTATTAATATTAATATTATTATCATTATTATTATTAGGCAAAGTTTCAAAAAAAAAAAAAAAAAAAAAGTGAACAATTGGTTACTTGCAAGATGCTCCCTGAAGGGTATTATGAGTATTGTACGTTTATGATATTTTATAACTTTTATATAAATTAATAAGTGGGGGTATTTTGATAATTTTGACCCTTTGAGCGTCTAAAAATGTGGTTCGGTGATCAAGAGAGTCCTTTTTGCAACATTTTTGTATAAATGAGGGGTTGATTTATAACCCGAGATAATTCAGGGGAATATTTTTCACTTTTGTGCTAGCACTTGAGTTTTTTAACCCTTTTGCGTATGTATTTATGTATGTATATATATATATATATATGAAAGAATGGTGACAGAGAGAGAATGTATTTTATCAACTAATAATTGACTTAAGTTACAACTTGGGATATATATATGTGTGAGAAATAGTTGAGGGTTGTTTTTCACTTTTGTGATAGCATATATATATATATATATATATATCTGTGTGTGTGTGAGAAAGGATGGCAGAAAGAGAGAGAATATATTTATCAACTAATAATTGACTTAAGTTACAACTTGGGATACATATATATATGTGTGTGTGTGAGAGAGAGAGAGAGAGAGAGAGAATGCCATAAAGAGAGAGAGGGAAATATTATACAACTTTCCTAATCAAAACATATATAGACTTCCAGCGAGCTATTTTTGTTAAAGACTTCATCAGCTCGTCTTTAACGGGTCAATGGATCTCAACAACAGAACAAAGCTATATATGAAAGAATGGTAGAAAGAGAGAGGGAATATATTTATCAACTAATAATGGACTTAAGTTACAACTTGGGATATATATATATATATATATATATATATATATATATATATATATGAAAAGAATGGCAGAAAGAGATAGGGGGAAATATAACAATACAAGTTTCCTAATCAAAACATATATAGACTTCCAACGAGCTATTTTTGTTAAAGAAAGACTCCAGCGAGCTATTTTTGTTAAAGAAAGACTCCAGCTCGTTTTTAACGGGTCAATGGATCCCAACAACAGAACAAATTCTAGAAAATATTAGTAAATTAAAAATTAAAAAATTAGTACGTTATGCTCTTCTGTACTCATGACACAATAAGACATTTATATATTTTATTTATTTATTTATTATTATTATTATTATATTTAACATAACCAACACTGTATCATCAAATTAATAAATAAATAAATAACTAATGAGGACGTCTACACAATTTTTATTTATACGAACTTTTGGTTTTAAAAAGATTAATAATTTAGTCAACAAAGAGAATGCATTTTAATATCCCTTTGGTCGATTTATGTATTCATGGTCCCATAATGGCATAACCATCTCAACAGATGGCTAGCTTTTAAAAATGAAGTGATGCTCGGGACGTGACAATTGTTCTGCGGTGGATCAATTTGTTGCCCCAATATTACAACTAATGTATAAAGAATTTAAAGTCAGTATGCATACCTGATCTCTACCTACGTGAAGTTGTGTAACCACTGATTTCATAATGCATATGCCTATATGCACACCTGTCTAAATTCTGGAAATAATGAACAGACTATACTTCTTCAATAAATTACTTTAATTTTGTCAATGTCCTTTTTTGCATATTGTGGGTGCATAAAATTTAGGACCGAACACCGAGGTTTAATCTAAGAATTTCAATACTCAAATATTTAATTATGAACAATGAAAAATTGTTAAATACTCAAAAATATTCAAAAGCAAGAAGAAACAAAATATTAGTGAGAACAACCTGCCTTTTATTAGGGTCCTTTGCCCATATTTATATGGACAACGCTTGTGTCCAACCTGAATGAACTTCATCCCGCCTAATTAACATAAGACAAGTGTCAAAAAATAAAATTAGAATTAAGTTGGGTATTGCCCAACTATTCGAGTTTGACCTGTTGCTCTAACATTTTTAAGGAACCAAAATAACCCTATCTTCTCCCTCTTCTTCCTCTTCATTCTCTTTCTACCTCTTCTTCTTCACCCACATCCCAAACCCTATACCACATCAAGGTTGCCACTACCGCCGCAGCCACTTACTACCCACCAACTCACGATATATATACATATATGATTATACACACATATACACGTACACATACCCATATTACACACATGTTTGCACACATAATTGTCGGCAGGATATATATCCAATATTACACACATATATTGGGTATATATATAAAAGGGTACGTATGTGTTTGTGTATATATATATATATATATGTGTGTTTGTATATATATATATATATATATATATATATATATATATATGTATATAGAAGAGACCGCGAGGAGTAACATCGGCAAGACTAGACGGCGAACTCGGAACGGCGGTAGGACGCCCACGATCGGTACGTGTGGAAGAACGTTCACAAGTAGTCAAGTACGTCAGCAAGTGGCGAACTGGAGTTATCAACGGCAGAGGAGCTCTAATTTGGGGCACCGGGAGCTCTGATTTGGGCGAACGGGAACACTGATTTGGGTATGATCTGGGTATGTATGGGACTGATTTAGTCTTGCAGCAAGAGTTGGGGTTTGTAATTGGTGATGGGATTATGTTTGGTGGGTGAGCAGTGGTGGTAATTAGTGATGAATGTGTTTGGATTTGTAATTGGTGAGAATGAATTGATGACGTTGTTGAAGATGGTGAGAATGAACCGAGCGGCGAAAGCACTCAAATTAACCTCTTCAAATCGATCATCGATCTTCGCTTGTAAACCGGTGGGCTTTTCCCTTTAAATCAAGCTCTATAAACCAGTCATCTTCTTCACCTCCAGGGCTATGACATGTACGAATGTGTATTCTGTGTGAGGGTGGGTCTGATGGGAGAAGTTTGGTGAGGTTGAGAAGTTTGGTATGGGGTTCATGATGAGGGAAATTGAGGAGGAGTTAAGAGAGATGTGTTGTTGGATCTGTTGGTGGCGGTAGTGGTGGCAACGAATAGGGTTTGAGACGTAGATGAAGGAGAAGAGGTAGAGAAAGAGAATAAAGAGGGAGAAGATAGGGTTATTTTGGTCCCTTTAAAAAAAGGGTCAAACCCGAATAATTGGGCAATACTCAACTTAAATTTATTTATTTTTAATTATTTTTGGACACTTATCTTACAATGATTGGGCCACGTCACCAACATCCAACTTGGGTTGGACACATGCATTGTCCTATTTATATTGTAAAGAGAGATTTTCATAGAACCTTTTTAGGACCATCCTTTTTGAAAACTCAATCAATTCCCTGATTCTTTGCAATTTGTTGTTCGTGCGTTACTTATAGTTGTGTGCGTTACTTATAGCAGTGCTGGTAAATACTTTGTATTTGGCTTTCTGGGTTGCAAGTTACTTTTGGGATTCCTTGGCGTATGGGGCTTTCCTTGGTCCTTCGGACTAGTCTCTTGGTTCGAGCCCTTATACTCTGGCCTTGTTCTTTGGGCTGGCTTTTTTTACATAGTTGCGTATACGTGGAGCTTTGCGATTGGTAGGAAAATTTTCCTCTATACTTTGCCCCCAATTTCCTTTAGCTTGATGCGGCAATCATAGCTGGAGGGAATTAATCGTAATTGGTGCTTTGAATTGTATGGATTAATTATAGTGAACTAATGGTCATGTCACTTGAAAGGATGCGATATTATTCTTTGATAGCGATAATTCATATCAATCCTTTTGGCGTTTATAAGGGACCCAAAATGAAGGTCTTTAAAGGTTGCTAGTATAACTTCTGTTGTCGCTAAGTTGCCCCCCTTGTGATGAGGTTGTGCCTTATATTGAGCTTATTCTGTTTAGGTCGTTGGTGTTAAGTCTTCATGATCTACTCAGGCTGATAGTGATCGACTTTCACGATTACCTTAAGTGACCAACCTTAATGAATAATGATGGTGAATAACCTTGATGACCATCTTTAGTGATCAACATGGTGATTTTATTTGGTGATCATCTTTAGTGATCAGCTTAAAATGATCAGCTTTCGTGATTAGCTTCGGATGATCAACCTTTGTGATTAGCTTTAGTGATCAGCTTCGGATGATCGACATTCATGATTAGCTTTAGTGATCGCCTTTGGATGATCATCATTCAGGATCAGCTTTAGTGATCGCCTTTGGATGATCATCATTCAGGATCAGCTTTGGGTAATTAACCTTCAGAATTAGCTTTATTGATAGGCTTCGGATGATAAGCTTTAGTGATTGACTTCGGATGATCAGCCTTCGGGATCAGATTTAGTGATCGGATTCGGATAATCAGCTTTAGTGATCGGTTTCAG